GATAATATAGAAATATGTCTATAATTTAGAAATATATTATTATTTAGATAATCTTGTTAGATTTATTCTCTTTTTTATTTTTCTTTTTGAGACAGGGTTACCCTGTAGCCTCAGTTGACCTGGAACTCTGTGTAGACCAGGCTGGCCACAAACTTACAGAGATCCTCCTGCCTCTGCCTCCCAAGTGCTGAGATTAAAGGCAGGTGCCACCATGTCTAGCTGACTTTTTATATGTGTGAACGTGTTGCCTGCATGTATGTAAGTGCACCCATGTCATGCAGTGCTCACGGAAATCAGAGGAGGGCGTCAGATCCCCTGGAACTGGAGTTATGGACAGTTGTTGCCACCATGTGGGTGCTGGGATTTGAACCCGGGTCCTATGCAAGAGTAACAAGTACCCTTAATTGCTGAGCCATCTCTCCAGCCCCAGATTTATTCATTTCTAAGCCAGACTTTAACTTCAAATTAATACTGATTAGATAACAGAATCTTACTTAATTGTTATATTTTATTGTTATATTTCAGGACTTAGAAGTCTACTAAATAAACAAGAAACTGTTACAGAATTTAGTCAAGAACTTAAACAGCTTGTTGGTCTTTTAAGCCCTAAGATCCAGCAGGAAGTAGAAGAACAGGTATTCCAAATATAAGTTACTTGATATTTTATAACTGTATTGAACCTCAGTTTTCCTTAAATATGCCTCACTTTCTTTCTCTTAACTTTAAACTTCCTTAGAAAGTAGAAGTATCTTTGAGATTGTCTGCATTTCAGCCTACCCATAAGTATAATTTCACTCTCCCTTTTACTTTTACATCTACTTAGATCCTACCAGATCAGTTTTTTTTCAGTCTGTCTCTTGAAGTCCTCTATTTATCTTCTTTTATCTATAAGCTATTTAAACTTTTTCCTTTGCTTTTTCAGAATAAATTTCTCATTATAGCAATATGTATATATATGTATATATGTATGTATAGTGTGTGTGTGTGTATATAGACACCTTTAGGTTGCTTTCTTATTTATTGAGATATAACAATAATACATTTTGCTTCTTGTATGAAATTGTATTATATTTGAGACAGCAAGTTTTGATTATTTTATCATACTTCCTCACATATCCTCAAAATGGTTCTTCTAGAGCTGGTCATGGTGGCATACGCCTTTAATCCCTGTGAGTTCGAGGCCAGCCTGGTCTCCATTAGCGAATCCAGGCCAGGTGCAACTACAGGGAAACCTTGTCTCAAAAAGACAAAAAAAAAAAAAAAAAAAAAAAAAAGGTTCTTCTAGATAATTTACTTCTATAGGAAAAGACAAATACTCCTAATTTCCAGGTGAGGCCTTGAAATAAATATGGAAGACAGATTTAAATCTAAAATAAAATATATTTTTGGAGTAAAAAGGAAATGAGTTTATTATCTACCTAAAGTCCTAAGCCAAAAGGTAATTGAAAGGAAGTCCATTTGGGCAGAAAGATGAAGGGAGAAATTTAGAAGGACGAGAGTAAAGGAAAATAATTCTCTACTTCTGTAGACCCTTTTCAAAACTATACATGTATTAAACCAAAACAGCATCCTAAAAACTTACAAAACTAAACTAATTTGATAACTACCTCCAAAAAGTCAACAGAGCTTATAGACTGAGACTAACCAAGTAGATCAATACTAAATAAAAGGGCTGGAGAGATGGCTTAGCGGTTAAGAGCATGTATTGTTCTTGCAGAGGATCTAAATTCAATTCTCAATGCCAGTGACTCACCTCCAGCCCAGGGGGATTCAAGGCCTCTGGCTTCTTTGGGCACCTACACTCACATGCATATACGTGTACACAGGCGCGCGCGCGCACACACACACACACGCACACAATTTAAAATAAAAATATTTTTTAATATTTTTATTTTATGTGTCTGTATGTATTGCCTGCATGTATGGAAGTGCATCCCTGTTGTGCAATGCCTGTGGAGGTCAGAAGAGGGTGTCAGAGCCCCTAGAACTGGAGTTATGGACAGTTGTTAGCTGCCTTGTAGGTGCTGGGATTTGAACCTGGGTCTTCTACAAGAACATTCAGTGTTCTTAACCACTGAGCCATCTCTCCAGCCACGAAAATAATAAAAATATTTTTAAGGGTACTAAACAAAAACATTGAAAAGTTAGCTCAAGAGCCACACACCTTTAACCTTAGTACTTCAGAGACTAGGGCAGAAAGAATTTGAGGTCAGTCTGGGCTACCTAACAAAACACAGTTTTTAAAACCAAAAGCAGCCAAACAAAATGTGAAAGATGGATTATGAAAGGTTAGGCAGAGCTATGAAGCTTTTGAAAATGAAGTAAGATCAAAAAGAGACTATTTGAAGGTAACTAGACTTGAATAGGTTCTAGATATTACATGAGTTTAACCTACCTTGTCTGGAAGGTGAGGTATAGTAACTTGGACATTCTTGGCCTGATCAACTTAATCCTCCCATCCATCTGGTTACAGATGGGGATTACCACTTACCCTGGCCTGATATTTTTAAGTGGTAAACTTTTCAAAAAGACATTTCTAGAGATACGTCAAAATTTTACTGGTATATAATTTCAGAAACTACATAAAGCAGCTTGCTTGATTCAAGCTTATTGGAAGGGTTTCCAGACGAGAAAGAGATTAAAGACGCTTCCATCTGCTGTGATTGCTTTGCAGAGGAGTTTCAGGTAAAAACAAAAAACAAACTTGGTGATACAATAATGATGTGGCTTTGCATGTGAATCTGTAATTAGCAAAAATATTTAAATAATATTTTTTAAAATGAGGGTTTCAGAGTCTTACTAGAGTACAGTTGAATAGAAATAGGGGTTTGGGGGGGCTTTGGATTTTTTTTTTCTTTTTTAGTTTTCTAATATGTTTTGCTTTATTCTTGTTTTCATTCTGTTCCATGTGTTACTGAGTACTAACACTCAAGTAACCAGATGCCCTTTCAAGGCAAAGGGCATAATGTAACAGATCCAGTGGATTCAAATACATAGTCCTTTCCACAGCAGAGGGAGTCAGTAATATCTGTATTAATAAATTCTCAAAATCAATAGTTCTTGTAAGTGTTCATACACAATCATGATAAAAAGTATGAATGAATATACAACCAAGCATGGTGATGCATGCCTTTGACTGCAGTGCTCAGAAGGCAAGGCAAGCAGACCTCTTCGAGATTGAGTCTAACCTAGTCTACATAGAGAGTTCCAGGCCAGCTGGGGCCACAGGGAAACCCTGTCTCAAAAAGAAAAAAAAAAAAAAAATGGGTATATAAGGATTAAAGATCTTAACCCAATTTTTCTGAGTAGATATGGCCTGTATAAATTTGGTCACTCTCTGATGTGGTTAACACATTCAAATTTTTTGTTTTGTTTTGCTTTTTTGAGACAGGGTCTCGCTGTAGCCCCAGCTGTCCTGGAACTCACTATGTAGACCAGGCTGGCCTTGAACTCACAGAGATCTGCCTGCCTCTGCCTCCCAAGTGCTGGAATTAAAGGCGTGCACCACCACACCTGGCCACATTCAAATTCTTAAAGACTATAGAAAGAAGAACAGCAAAAATAAATAAAGATTAAACATTGATGATAAAGAAGAGCCAGTTCAGAGGTGATTTTTTTTTTTTCTGCAGCCTTACTTAAAACCAAATTTTAGTTTACAAAAGTGAAACTAACATATTACAGAAGGGAACTTAAAAAAACTGAAACTAGTCTTTTAATAAAACTGCAGCTGCATTTCTATTCTAAAAAAAATTTTAAATAGCTCTGGGGCTCAAAATACTACATTGTACAGTCTAGTGAGTTCAGGCCAGCTGGGGCTACAGGGAGACCCTGTCTTAAAAGACCAAGAAAAGATTTCTTTTTTTGAAGCTAGGTATGGTGGTACACACTTTTAATCCCAGCACTTGGGAGGCAGGGGAAGGTGGATCTCTGGGAGTTCAAAGCCAGCCTGGTCTACTTTGCAAGTTCTAGGCCAGCTAGGGCTGCAGGGAGACCCTGTCTCAAAAAGGTCAAAAAAATTAAAATAAAAAAAGATTTCTTTTTTCGCTATTAAATTTTTACAGCTCTTCACATAATCTAGGTATGAATCCCCTGTTATGTAGTTGACAAAGGATATTTCTTTGCTCTAATAATTGTTTCCTTTGCCTTTTTATTTCATGTACTCACATTTGTTATTTCTTGGGAATTATTTTGTGTGCTATTAAGAGTCCTTTTCAGAAATTCCTTGCCCATATATCTTTAAGTGTTTTGCCTATATTTTCTCCTAGCAGTTTCAGTTTTAGGTCTTACATTCAGCTCTTTGGTACATTTTGAATCCACTTTTTTTCTAGATAAGTTGTAGTTTTATTCTTTTATAGATGTTAGATCCAGTTTTCCCAGTACCATTTATTAAAGAGGCTGTCTTTTCTCCACTGTATGTTTTTGACACCTGTCAAAAAGTTGGTGGCTGTAGATGTGTGGGTTTATTTTGAAGTCCTTTATTCTGATCCATTGGTCTACATGTCTTTTTGTCTTTTTTTCAATACTTATTTATGTATTTAATTTTATATGTTGAACATGGGCTTCAGTATGTGCACCATATGCTTACTGGTGCCCACAGAGGCAGAAAGAAGACATTGGATCCCCAGGAACTAGAGTTACAGGTGATTGTGAGCCACCCAGTAAAGGCTGGAAACAAAACTCAGGTTCTCTGCAAGAATAGCCAGTACTTTTATCCACTGAGTCATCTCTACAGCACCTACGTAGCTCCCGTTTTTGTGCTAGTACCATGTTGGTGTTGTTACTATGGCTCTGTTATTAATTTGAGATTAAGTACTGTGAATCTCCATCACTGCTCTTTCTGGTGTAGCAGTACATGGCTATTAAGGGTCTTTTGTGCTTCCATATGAATGTTAGGACTGTTTCTTTTTAGTTCTGTGGAGAATGTCAATAGAATTTTTATGGAGTTCATGCTGAAACAGTCATTTTCTCAACATTAATTCTGCCAATCCCTGAGTATCTTCTAGTGTCTTCTTAAGTTTCTTTCTTTGGTGTCTTAAAGTTTTCACTTGACCTTAACAAAAAGGCCAAGAAGCAATTGTCTTAAAGTTTTCATTGTACAGTTCTTTTACCTTATTGGTTAGGTTTATTCCTGATTTTTTGTTGGTTTTGTTTTGCTTAAACCTATTGTCTGTGGGAGTTTTTTTCCCCTATTTCTCTCTTGGTAAGTTTGTTACTTATACATAGAAAAGCTACTGATTTTTATATAATTTTGTATACTACTATTTTGCTCGAAGTGCACTGAGTTTTCTAGTGGAGAATTTTCTTTTCAAATAGAAATACCATTGGTTTCCTTATATAACCAAGCCATTTATAAATATTCTCACTTTAAAAAAATGTAATCAGTAAAACTGCACTAATTTCTCTCATATTTTTGTTTCCTACCTAGTATGTTGAGTTTGAGCTTCTAGAATACAGTGAGGTGTAGTTTTAACCCTTGGGCACTATTTAATTTTTTTTTTTTAATTTCGCTCCATAATTTTGCATCTTTCTGCTTCTCGTAGTTGTTACAGTTTATGCAGATATTTCCTATTTGCTTTGTAACCGGGCTTTTTTCTACCTCTTTGTGACCAGATCATTGTCTCAGTAATTTCTTCTTGTGTTTTTAGGGTATTTAGATCCCCTCCCCTATTCACACCTTCCCATACTCCCCCCTGCCCAATTCAATTTATATATGCTGTATATATAAAGTATACAATTGGGTATATACAATCTATGATTTGTGTCCCTCAGCATGGGTCCATCCCCTGGTGAGAGTTGAGAGATGTATTCGTCTTACGTGTAGAAAGTGCATTGAAGATGTATCACTTAGGGCTAAGCATCTCACCGACACTTGTTTTCTGCACTTAGCAGTTGTAGAACTCTGTAATAGTCTCCATCTGTTGCTAAAAGAAGCTTCTTTGATGAGTAGTGAGAGGTACACTTGTCTGTAAATACAAGGATGCATATTTAGAACACAGTAAAATATTATATTGGTTAAGAGATTGGCCAAAGTAGGTTTTTCTCTAGGATCTATGACCTCTCCAGTCATATGTATTTAGCTATCTTTATAGTACCACATGTAAGTTCCCTCCCATTGAATGGGCCTTAATTTCAACTAGACAGCTTACCCATAAGATAAAAGTGCCACCTCTGTAACAATAACAATAGTTTGCTAGGCCAGTTATGTTTATTAAGCTTTATAGCTAGGTAGGACCATTGATTTGTTTTCTACCTTGGCAACTTGCATAGTATCCTCTACTACCACCAGAGCTATTCTTAAGGGAGGAGGCTTCCAGGTCAGTTCCAGCCCAATTGCTCCAAGTCCTGTGTCCAAAGTATGGTCTTTGTTCAGCAATAGGGTCTTACCTTCAAATTCTGGAAAGTAGTCAAGGTCTGTCTCAATGGCCTGTGTTATTTTGGGAGTCTCTTGGACTACTCTGACCAACAAATGGAAGGGAGGTTTCTTCTGCCTGGCACTATGTTTTTGCTACATAGCCTTCAGTTATACATATGCATACATGTGCATGTGTGTGTGTGTGTATAAAATGTATTTTTCAGTAGAACTTTGAACTAATATATTAGCCTCTAAGTGTACTCCCCTTGTGTACTCCCCTTCCTTCTCCCTCCCCAATTAAAATAACCCCCTTTTCCCTACCTCCCCTTTTTTCTTTTTTTCTTCTTTTTTTAGAGGGGAGGGGGGTGTCTTTCTGAGACAGGGTCTCCCTGTAATCCCAGCTGGCCTGGAACTTGCCAGGATGGCCTTGAACTCAAAGAGATCCACCTGTCTCTGACTTCCAAGTGCTAGAATTAAAGGCATGTGCCACCATACCCAGCCCTATTTCCCCCTTATAAAATTATAATACCTGTTTCCTACTATTCTCCTCTCTTGAGCTCCTTCTTCCTCTTCACCCCCATCGTTCCTCCCCATTTTCCTAGCTCCTGCAGTAGCATTAAGATACATACTCAAATCTAAGGATTTAGAACTACGATCCACAAATGAGAGAGACTATGTCACTTCTTTTTCTGAGTCTGTGTTACTTCATTTAATATAACTTTCTACTTCCAGCCATTTACCTGCAAATTTCATGATTTTGTTTTTCTTTACCACTGAGTAGAATTCCATTATATAAATGTACCACATTTTCATTAGCCATTCATTAGTAGAGGAACATTTAGGTTGTTTCCATTTCTCAGCTATTGTGAAATGAACAGCAACAAACATGGCTGTGCAGCATCTCTGTAGTAGAGTGAGTCCTTTGGGTATCTGCCAAGGAGTGATATAACCAGGTCATATGGTAGATTTATTTTTAGTTTTTAGGAGTTCTCCATACCACAGTGGTTGCTCCAGTTTCCAATCCCAGCAACTGTTGATGAGGCTTCCCCTTTCCCTGCATCCATGCCAGCATTTGGTGTTATTTGTTCTCTTGATTTTAACCATTCTGTCTGGGGTTAAATGAAATCTTTAAAAGTAGTTTTGATTTGCATTTTCCTAATTACTAAGGATATTTATCACTTTTTAAGGTGTTTCTTAGCCATTTTTATTTCTTCTTTTGAGAACTCTGTTCAGATCCATGGCCCATTTTTTAATTGGATTATTTGTTTTCTTTGTTTTTTAAGTTCTTTGTATATTCTGGGTATTATTCCTCTATCAAGATGTATAATAGCTG